TCCCACTATCTTTGGGGTGGCTCTGGCTACAGATTTGGCCAAGCCACTAGCACTTTTCTGCGAGACAGTCTGTTTCTCTGTCATCCAGCTACAGTTCTTCAGGACATCCTGTCCTGCTTGCGGTCAGTCCCCCAAGGAAAGAATGCTGATTGTGAAACTCCATTCTGGGGCAATCCCCACCTGCACTGAACAGTGCTGCATGCCACGAGAGGCTACAGCTGTCAAACTGCCGAAATATGCCTCCTACCTGGAGAGCCTGCTCAGGATCTCTGCGCTGCCAGCGCCTCCATGATTGCCCTCCATGTATGTTGCCTCAGTCTTCTGCCACCTACAGCCTGGTGGTGCATTTGCCTGGACCCAGAAAATGCCCTTTTTTCTCTTTGACTGGCTGCTGTCAGCCAGCCCCTCTTCACCTTTAAATGGAAAGACCACATTTCTAGACTCAAAGGTTAACTGACCTGGACTCAACCTCCCACAGGTTCAAAAACTTGTTTGCCCCTTTTGGAGGAGCCTCACAGCTGACCTCAGTAGTTTCCCAGCACAAAAATATCACTGCACTCCTAATTAATGATACCCACCCTGCCTGCTGGAGGGGCGCAAGAGCTCTGCCACAATAGCTGGCAGAAATTGGTTATAAAAGCCTCTACAAATTACTTGGAGCTGCTGCCTTCTACAGAATCTGACTTCTTGAGTACACAAAAACTATGGTGTTTCCTCAGACTGTCAGCCTCTGGGAGTGCCCAGTGCTACCTGTGCAGATACTTGGATCTGGGCACTAAGGGCTGCCTCCCCCTTGGCCTTTGTGCTCAAGCACCCACTGTCCTTCTGACAAGAAAGCTGAGCAGCTCGCCTTAGGCCAAGCCCCAACTGCCCAAGTGGCACATGTTGCCCTGAACCTGAAAATGGACCCCTGGCAGATGCTGAGTGCCCCTTATTTACACGTGGAAGTAGCTCTATTAGAAATGGCATGTGACAGGCTGGAGATGCTGTGGTCAGCCTAGATAAAGCTCCCCTGCCACTGCTTCCTGCTGCTGTATGGAAATCTGTTGCCAAGGACACCACACCTGTGTTCCTAAGCCCACTCTGGGGTCCCTATTGATTGAAACATCAACCCCAGTCAGAAAAACTTTACTCTGTATTCTCAAAAGATCGGAGCCAGACCTGCCCCTACTATATGTTCTGCTAGCTCAAGCCGCTGTGCTGGCACCCACACCCTCGCCCCCAGCTCAAGCTTCAGCACCTGTGTCGTCAGCCCTCCTGTCCCCTATCTGCACCGAGAAAACAGCAGAAGTTTATACGGTCCTGCTAGAAAAATCATTCCTAGATACAGCCTCCCCTTGACACTGACACTGACCACAGGCCTGTATTTGTAGCAGACATAACTACACAGAAACTATGTTCAGCATGCAGGCCACGTGCTCCAACATATAACCCTACAGAAGCAGCTTGTAACTAGCTCCTTGAAAGTTTAACAAAAAGAATAGCTCTAGGTTGGGTGTGGTAGTGTATGCCTGTAGTCCCAGCACTTGGGAGGCTGAGACAGGAGAATCACTATGAGTTTAAGATCATGCTGGGCTACAAAATGAGCTCAAGGCCAGCCTGAACTGTATAGTGAGACCTTGTCTCAAAAAGACAAAAACAAAACAACAACAAAAAACCCCCACAAAACCCAGCTATTCCTATAGGCACTCCTACACGCACACATAATCCAGGTGTGTATTAATTACCTCTGCAAGTTTCAGAAATCCAGCCTTTTGTCCAGCGTTCCAGAGTTTACAGAGCCCATCCAGATGATTGTACCTGGATTAGACAGTTCCTCAGTCTGCACAGCTGAAACCTGAGGGTACCATTCACAGCGTTGTTCCTGCCGCCTGTGTCACTCTCCTTTATTTTTTTATTTTTTTTTAATTTTATTTATTTATTTATTTGTGTGTGTGTGTGTGTGTGTGTGTGGCCAGCTCAGCCCACCAGGGGGCGGGCTGGCTGGCATGTGGTGCTGGGGGATCGAACTGTGGTCCCTGGGTTTTTGCTAAAGCTTGTTCTAAGTAGGTGCTTTAGACCACTGAGCCATCTCACCAGCCCCACTCTCCTTTATATTTTGTGCTGCTTACCCCAGTCCTTGCTTCGCAGCCCCCTGCTAGCTGTGGTTTTGCCTTATACTGTGTGGGCGGTTGCCCCAAGGGAGTAGAACAGTCAATCAAACACTTGGCCAAAATTTGATGAGTATCCAAAACACATTGGACACTCCTAGTGAGTAACTCCTTCACTACTTTGCCAGAGTAATAGCAAATCATAGCCACTAAAGGGAAACTATGTCTTTTCTTAAAAGCAACTTATGGAAAAACTGTATAGTAAGATAATCTTGGGGGACCTTTGCTAGGACCCATCCTAGGATCACTGACAACCCTAATGTTGCTGCTTCTAGTTGGGCCTTGTTTCAGAAAATCACATGTAATATACCCAGCAAAGATTTGGTGAGGGAAATAAAAGGGGGGAAATGTAGTAGAAGACTCGCCCCCTCCAGCCAGTATGCTTTAGTTGGCCAGGTAGTTCCCGAGTAGTTCCGGTAGCTTCTGTCTCCTAGAAATGGCTGGTCCCTGTGATGTATATTGTAAGAATCGATCAAAGACAGCCAAGTGCTCTGCCTCTGTACCTCCCCTTGCAGACTTCATATAACCCTCCCCTCTCCCTGAGCCTTTGGTGCCTTTTATTTTGAGGGACAATTGATTCCCTGTCAGTGACCACTGATGTAAAATAAAGCTACCTTCAAATTTGGGTGTCATTTCAGTGTATCAGAATGCCACTGCATTGTGACTGGTGGAGGTAACCTAGATGTTCATTACCATAAGCTCATATAATAAATGTGATGGAGGCATGCTACAGAACACTACTCAGCATTCGGAGTAACCACAAACTAGATGCATATGCCATGGTAAGAGTCTATTGCTATAAGGGCATAAGAAACAACTAGTAATGTATACTGAAGGGTCGCTGTATGGTCAAGCACATGTGAAAAACCTTAGTAGCTGCCTATGGGGTGAGAAGAGAACTGAAAATCAAGGAGAAAATGCAAGTAAAATGAGACCTTGCATGGATGGATGTTGGGTGCATACCATGAGTTGAGCATAACAGTCTGTACCATTTACTGGGAGCCAAGGAAAGAACTTAGGGAGCGGGAAAACAAGACTCGAGTGAAGCCGGCAGGCCTACTCCTGGACAGAAGATGGGTTCCTCGGGCAGAGCAGAGCCAGGGGGCAGAGACAGCACCTCTGTACAGTTCTCCTGCACGTCACACCCATTCTCCAGGAGAGCCTTCACCTCCACCTCTGGCCTCACCAGCCTGGCCTTTACTGTCTGCATTCCTATCAGCCATCTGGTCTTTTGAGCTTCGATTTTCCAGGCTTCTCTATCCTGGATCCATGGACCTGTTCTAGCTCCTCCCACAAACCAGTTCCCAAGCTTCTGAACCACACGCCTAGGTACAATCAGCAAACTTCCCACCCTGGTACCGATATTTGTATTAGTCATGTTCACCTTGCTGGGACAAAATACCCAACACCCACAATTTAACAGAGAAGAGGTTTATCTGACTAAAGGTTTTAGAGGGCCTGATGTATGTGTAGAGGACTACCTCCATGACAAAAATATGACAAAGGACATGGTAGAAAAAAGCAACTCAGCCCAAAACAAGCAAAAGTAATAGACAAGGGAGGAGCCCCTCTTGGGCCAGGCCCTTCTCCTAACAACACCTTAAGCTATTAAACCATCCATGGATTTTACCCACTCTGGGGACACCCTCCTATAATCAATTAGTGACCCAAGGGCCCTCCTGTTCCTAAGGGTCCCCTTTTCCAGTGGCCAACTTGGGACCCAACCCAAGGTCATTCCCCAAGGTCCTCCGGGGACTGCACCATCCATGTTGTTGTGATCACGCCCCTCCCAGTTTCCTCAGAAGGACAAGGCAGGTAAGATGCGGGGCTGATTGGGTCAGTTTATTAGGGCTTTCTCTACTGTGTGAGGGGGTTGCGAGAGGGCTCAGAAGGAGGCCTTGGGTCACGCAGGTCTGGTGAGAAGGCCCCGTGCCCTGCAGGTGGGGGAGCTGCAAGTCAAGGTTGAGGTCTGCTGCATACACGAATGTGAGCCGGCAAGGTCCCGGATTCCCCTAGGAGGATGATGCCGAAGCTTCGCACACTCATTCTGGCTGTTTTCCCTTCCAGAACCATGGTGCGTGGCTACATGGTGTCCAGGCATCACGGCCCGGTAAGTGCCCCCAGGGGCCCAGGGTGGAGGGATGAGGCATGGCCATGCGGGGGAGCTGGGGTCTGGCGCCGCCCTGTCACACTGCCCTCCACTCGCCCCGCAAGGCCCCGCAGGGTGAACCCGGTGCCTGCTCCCAGGACTGCAGCGCCCTCCCCACCGACGCCGGCCCTGCAAGACAGAGGACGCTGGTCAGCAGAGCCCTAGCCTCCCAGTCTGTTTCCCCCCTGCTCCTGTCTGGCCACACAGGAAGCTGACGGGTTCGTCCTCAAAGCCTCTGACACCCCGGGACTGCTGGGCACCTGCTGCCATGCCTCCTATGGAGGAGCTGGTGCTAAGGGAAACAGAAGTTAAATTAAGCACCAGCTTAAAGGCTGTTTCTTGGAAACTAATCTCTTCAAACTTACACAGAATCCAGTGCAGTGCTGGGTGAAATGAGGGCCTAGTAAACACTTTTGAATGAAAATGAACATGTTAATAATTAACCTTAACTGAACATTAACTATGTGCCAGGTAGACCCTAAACTCTTTGTATGCATTGATTTATTTAATCCTCACAGCTATGAGTACTCTTTCCTCTTCTTAGATAAAGAAGCTGGGATGAAAAGGCTTCCCAGCTTGTGCAGTGTCTCACAGCATGAGCTAGAAGAGACCAAATTATCAGGCCTCAGAATGCACCCGTGTACTTCTCCTTCCTGGAATATGAGGCCTGGCTAGAAAATACTCGGCCTTGAGGACAACCAGAGGTCAACTGTACATGCACCATCAGTTTGCAAGACTGATTATTTCCAGCTGGATCGTCTTTTCAGGACTGAATGGATGAACACAAGCGTGCTCCCCTAAAAATGAGATGCAAGGCTCATTGGGTCAGTTTATTAGGGCTTTCTCTACTGTGTGGGGAGGATGTGCGAGGGCTCAGAAGGAGGCCTTGGGTTACACAAGTCTGGTGAAAAGGCCCCTCTCTTTTTGTTAAAAAAAAGCCCTTAGCTGCTTACCTGACCAGGTCTCCAAATGCTGTTCCAGGTTCTCTGTGGGAAGCAGAAAGTAGAAGACCCCTGAGCCGTGGTTTCCTGCAGGCCTCCAGGGAGGAGACCGACTGCAGTGTGAGGGTGACAGGAGACTGCACCCCTGCTGTGACCCCCAGGGATAGGGTGGTGGGGACCTGGAGGGGCCTCCCTGGGAGACTGGGGCCCCACAGAGGGAGGGAGGGGTCAGAAGGGCCATGGTGGGGGTGGAGAAGTGGCTGCTTCTCCCCTACCTGCGAATGTCCTCATCATCTCTGGGAGGACGAGCGTTTTCCTGTGGAGATCACGGATCTTTGCGATTAGGTCTGACGAAATGACCTCTGGGCTCCCAACTGTCTTCACGGCACACCTACTGGCAATGGGGAGCCAAGGCTCAAGTTCCAGAGATAGTATGAAGGGAGCAGGGCTCCTGCCAGACTGCAGGGAACACCATGTTGGGTGAACATTTCTTTTTCTTTTCTTTTAAAATGTATTTAGTATAAGGTCTACAGGGTCTCACTACACAGATCAGACTCGTAGTGATCCTCCTGTTTTCAGCCTCCCAAGTGCTGGGATTACAGGCGTGCACCACCGTGTCCAGTGTCAGTGGCCATCTCAGTCTGTCCCGGGGGGTGGGGGGGCTGCACAGCATGCCGGGGATCAAACCTGGTCCCTGAGTCTGCCTAAGCAGGCCCTTTAGTCCGCTGAGCTATCTGGCCAGCCCCAACCATTTCTTTATCTTTGTTGGAAATGTGAGTTTTCTACAACAATGGGCATTTCCGCAGATCTAAGGGGAGCAAGAAGCAACTAGGCCTCAAGAACCCTAGGGAAGGCCAGGGAGATGGCTCGGTGGAATAAGTGCTTCCTTGGCAAGCGCAAGGGTCTGAGTTCAATCCCTGGTTCTGCAAAAAAGAAAAAAGAAAAAGAATCCAAGGGAGGCCCCGCTGAATGAGGCAGAAATCTTCAGGCTACAAGTCTCGGACTCTGGTCCTGGCTCATTACTCTTAAGCACATGTGCAAGCACTGCTGCCCTCCCCAGCCGCCTCATCCTTGACCTTTGACCTCTGGCCTCTGACCTGACCCCCAGCCTCTCCAACTCTAAGGCCCTTTGCAAAGCCCATTTGGAGACATTTCCTGGCTCAGGGGTGCGGGGTTATTCCTGCTGTCCATGGGTGGGCCCCAAATATACAACAGGGGTTTCCTGTCCTGTGTTTGCACATCTCAGCACAGACTGCTTGCCATGCAGCAGAGAAGACAGGAAAGGAGCCTCTGGGGCCTGGCCTGTCACTGGGAAACTGAAGGAAACAGGAGAAAGAGTGTGGGGAGGAGGGAGGATCTGGGTGTTCTTCCCAGGCTCCCTGCTTCTCATAAGCTATTAAAAACACTTTCTCAAATTCCATTTCCAGTGGTGTTAGTTACTGACTTAAAAGTAGTAACTGAATGGATTAAAGATGTCCTTGGATCTGCCTAACCATGATTACTAATTATAACTTCACTTATAGGAAGAAAAACATGTCCCCAGTACCAACCTATCCATTCACAAGTAAGCCTCTAGAGCGTGCCTTCAGTGCGCCTAGGTTGTTAGTACGTGTGCGTTAGCTCTAGTGTGCATCTGTCAGAGGCTTTCTTGCTCCTGGGCAGCAACCCGCCAGGGGGAGGTGGGCGCTGTCAGTGTCTCAGGGATGTGGCTACCTGAGGCAGGACGGGAGTGACCCTACCTGCTCTGGTTGACTCTGGCATCCTACAAAGGAAAGAGGAGCACACTTAGTTTCCACATGTCCTGTTCAGGGACTCTGTACATCTTCTCTTCCTTTAAAACATCAGCTCAAAACTCTCCTCCCCGAAATTATCTACTTGATTACTCATCAGAACTGTTCCTTTCCACCACATGCCCTTGTTCTGATGGATTCTGAAGCCGGGTCCCTGTGCTACCTTCTGGCTCCACATTTTCTTGGGGATGGTGGAGAGCAGGCACCAGCCTTGAGTCCGCAGCCAAACCTGGCTTGGCCTTGGCTCATGATAAGCACAACAGGCGCTAAGTAGGCGTGCCTCTGGGTGTTTGACCCAGACTGAGCGTTTTAGACCTGGTCACCACAACCCTGTGGGAGATCTCATTATAATCCCTATTGCTTAGAAAAGGTGACTCAACCACGTGACAAATGGGAAAAGCTGACACCATACCCAAGACTGTGTGACTCCAAAGCTCTTTCTTCACAGCCCACAGCACACATCTGCCTCTCTGGGCCAGTGGGGCAGACCACCACCCAGCCCTCAGCTTAGAGAGATCTGCGCCTCCCTCTCCTGCCACCACGTTCTCCAGCCCAGAGTGTGGGCTTCCTAAGGTACCCTTCCGCTCTCCCAAGGGAACATCGGCTCACTTGCACAAGCGCACATGCTGGCTGCCCACACTTCTCCTCCAGCTCCTCCACCTGGGCGCTGAGCCGGGCGACTTCATTCGAGACCTTGCTGTTGTACTCCTCCCTCTCCCGCCGCACCTGCTGCTCCAGCTTCCCCAACCTGGCCAGCAGGAGGCGCTGCTGGTCCCCTAGCGCCTGCTGGAGCCTCTCAAAAGCTGCTGCTACTTCTTGTTTCTTGCTTTCAATCTGAGCCTGTCAGCAAAGGAAAGAGGCTGATTAGGGAGGGCTTCTGGGGGGACTCCAGAGGGTCCTCTGTACACTTGGGGGCGAAGTAGAACTCAGAGGATGTAGTTCTAAGACTCATTCCTCCTAATAATTCTACAGAAGTAGATGACTCTCATGATAAACCTACCAAGCGTGAAAGTGCTCTACTTCTCTATTGTCTCAGCTCAAGATTCTAGAACTGTACTACACTGTGCTTTCAGGGCCAGGAATGAAGGTGCAAGGAATTCATAATTAGCTCTTCCAGGTTGGTGGAAGAGTGTGTGACACTGGTTTTAGTCTGTGAGGACAGGCTTTGTTGGGAACAGAGGGACATGGAAGAATCCTTCTGTCTCGACACCCCATCTCCTTGGCCACACTACCATAAATTCCCACACCACAGACTTTCTCCTTCCTTGTAGCCTGGACGAAGAGGTGGGAAAGAGCCGACAGAGCCACACCATACACTATGGGCCTCAGGGTCAGCTTTGGGGTCACGCGTGGAATCCAGACTCTCTCTGCCTGCGCCTGACTTCCCATCTGAAGTAACATTTTCAGGCCAGGCCAGAAGAGCAGTGGTTTAAGACCCAAGAGACCCCCTTCTGGCAATCTCAGCCTGCACCAGGGCTTGGTCATAAGACCTAGTGGTTCTCCTGTATCACTCACTGGGCCTCACTTTTCTGCTCTGTAAATGATGGATAAGAAGGATCCTGGACCAACTTCTAACTCCAGCACTCTGAGATCCAAGCTTTTGTGTGGTGGCAGGACAGTGAGTGAGAGGGTAGCTGGGCTTTTCCATGCAGACACCAGACACTAGCCTGTCAGGAAAGTGCCCGGGGGACAGGGGAGACAATGGCTCAGTTTTTACCAGCAAGACTTGGAGCTTCTGGTCTTCACGACACTTTGTGTCTTCAATTTTGTCCCTTTCCTCTCTCAGAGCCTCCAGTTGGCTCCTGAGCCAATCCTGTGGGGAGAAGGGGCAGAGATACAGGTTCAACTCAACTCAGGGCCAGCCAGATAGTTCAGCGGATTAAAGTTTAAGCAGATGCAGCAACCGGGGTTCGATATGGGTGCGCAGTGCCAGCCCTGCCCCTGGGGTGTGTTGAGAGGCGATCGAGACTGGGCGTGGTGGCACGCACCTGTAATCCCAGCACTTTGGGAGGCTGAACACAGGAGAATCACTGAGTCCGATCTACCTAGTGAGGCCCTGTAGACCCTTACAAAAAAAAAAAAAAAAGGAAAGGAAAGAAAGAAATAGAAAAAAAAAAAAAAGAAAGAAAGAAAGAAAAAAAAAGAAAAGAAAGAAAGAAAAAAATGAAGTGGCTGAGGTGCTCACGGGAGCAGGAACAAGGAGGCCCTTCTGCCCTAGGGCTAAGCGAGGGTGTCAGCTGATTCCACCTCCATCACCACGGACCCACCGCCGCCCCACTTGCGCTCTCACCCGGTAAGGCTGGATGGCCTCATCCAGGAAGCCCACGCTGTGGGCCTGGTGGCCGGGGCTCTCCCGGCACAGAGCGCACAACAACTCGGCGTCCATCTGGCAGAAGAAGTAGATCTTCTCGCCGTGCTCTTCGCAGTAGGTCTCCCCCGGAGGACCCAGGGGCACAGGGACCGCAGGGGCCTCCACCTGCTCCTCCTCTTGGCACAGCGGGCAGAGCAGCATCCTGCCCGAGGGCTGGGCCCCCATCTGGGCAGTGGGCGGGAGGCAGAGCCGGCAGAGGCTGTGTCCACAGGTGGCCCCAACCGCATCCTTCAGGGGCTTTGCACAGGCCAGACAGGTGGCCCCATCGTGGACTCCTTGAAGGGACGGGGCCACGGGCATCACGGTGCCTTCCCCAGCCCGCCCATGAAGGCCGCTGTCTCGGTCCACATGAACTTCCTTTCCTGAAACTGAGTCACTTTTAAGTGCGTCTTGGAGAGCAAGGAAGAGGAGTCTGAGCAGGGCGCTAGGACGAAGACGCCCCTGGCTCCGCCTCCTGCGCGCGGGGGCCGGGCCACCCCGCCAGCACGAAGGGTCCAAACTCCAGGGCGTTGTGACACACCCGTGTTTGCCGGGACTCGGGTCACATTCTGGTCCCTGGGATGGCGAGCAGGGCACACCTGTCTGTGGTCGCAGGGAGATGGGTTTCCCGGAATCCAGACCACACTTCTGTGGGGAAAACTGAGGAGCCACTGTCTCAGGTGGAGCAGGAGGGAGCTATGAACGTCCAGTTCCGAGGCGCCCCAGGCATCATCAAAGTCCGGGCTGGAGAGGGAGGTGACCACTTCTGAGGCTAGAGGTGACCACTTCTGAGGCCGCAGGGCCTCTTCTTCCAGCACCCTTCTTTTTCACCTCACTGCCTCTGCCCCTGCTGGGGAGCCAAGCTCCCACTTGTGCTGCAGCCCCCGGGGCTGGGCTAACACTAGCAGAAGGCAAGAAATTATAATTCATATGTTGTGTTGATAAACTCAATCAGGGCCCAGAGATGGCTCAGTAGAATAAGAGCTTGCCTGCCAAGCACAGGGTCCTGAGTTCAATCCCCGGTACTGGGGGGAAAAAAAAAGAAAACTCAATCCGTCAAAGATATAAACAGATTCAAACACATTTACCTCTTTTCGATTATTATAAGCAATTCTAATAACAATCGTGGGGCCGGGGAGACAGGTCAGTTGAATAAGCACTTGCCTGCCAAGCACAAGGGCCTGAGTTCAATCCTCAGCTCCACAAAAAAAAAAAAAAAAAAAAAACTAATGACAATCCTTTGGGGGCAGGTATCATTCTCTTCATTTTACAGAGGAGATGGATGCTGTTCCCATACTCTACCCACGCAGTCACAGTTCAAGTGGACAGAGCCAGATGCCCTTCCATTCTCTGCTGATGATCAGCGGGCACCCTGGTGTCCTAAGACTACGTGTCTCATCTCTGTCCTCCTGTTCGGTCCCAGCCCTGGGGCTGCACTGCACCCCTTGACCCCCAGCCCAGATCCAGACGTGCTGGTGTGCAAATACACACTGGATTTAAAGGACTTACCATTACGAAGGAAATATTAAAAAATCTCATTAATAACCTCTCACGATGACATGTTGAGGTAACTTTGGAAATATCTGGCTAAGCAAAATATATTACAGGGCTGGCGAGATAACTCAGTGGACTAAGCACCTGCTTAGGCAGGTGCAGGATCTGGGGTTTGATCCTCGACACCACATGTTGTGCTGGCCTTGCCTGGGCCAGGGAGATAGTTCAGCAGCCTAAGTGCCTGCCTGGCAAGCACAAGGTCCCGAGTTCTTTCCCAGTAGCCCTAAAAATATTAATTTCATGTTTGTTTATTCCATATCCCTAGTAGAAAATCTTAAATTGCACATGTGGTTTGGAGTGCATTTCAGAGCTCTGTGTCTCCCAGGAGCTGACTGTAAACTAGGGTCCTGCAGCTTCTTTGGACACTTCAGGCAGGCCAAGGCACCGGGTTGAGGCTGCCCGAATCACTGGAGATCCGACTGCACAGGAGGACAGCAGGGCAGATGTGGACTAAGTGAGCGCACGCCAAGGCTCCTATCAACGCAAGGTGCGGTCGCTGCCCAGCCACTGTCTTTCCTTCCCCAGCCCGAACCCAGTACAGCCTCTTCGATGTTTGGGTTGGGCTAGCTGGAACCTTGCTGGTGATGTTGCCTGTTCTGTGTCACCCGCTGTAGCTCTTATCTGAGTCCGCACATGCCCCTGCCCAGGGCCTGGCAAGTTCAGGGTTGAGATAGGGCCAATCTGCCCAGAGACAGCGGCCGCCTAACAGGGAGCCTGGGGTGGCACCGCCTCGCTGAGCCGGTTCTCTCTCCTCCCCCAAAACGACCTCTTTCAGTCGCGCAGCTGAAACACCAGCCCTGCTTCTAGGCAAGCGGCGACGCGGAGCGGTGACCCCAGCCACCTGCGGGGCCTGGAGCGCAGCCTTGCTCCCCCTGGCTGTTTCTCTGTTTCTGCTGTGTTCCGGTCAGATCCTCCGCGGGCAGGACTGGGATGCGGTGCCAGAGACACACGGAGCCGCCTGTCCCGCTGGCGTCTAGCCGCAGGCACGCGTGAGAGTGGGCGCGGGAGCCGCGTCCACACAGCTCCTCCCGCGCCCGCAGAGGGCGGCCCGGAGCCGGCATGGCCTCGGCCGCCTCGGTGAGCAGCCTGGCCGACGAGGTCAGCTGCCCCATCTGCCAGGCCACCCTGCGGGAGCCCGTCACCATCGACTGCGGCCACAACTTCTGCCGCGGCTGCCTGGCGCGCTACTGCGAGGGCCGGGGCGCGGGGCCCCTGGGCTGCCCGCTCTGCAAGGAGCCCTTCCGCGCGGGGGCGCTGCGGCCCAACTGGCAGCTGGCGGGCGTGGTGGAGCGCATCGAGCGCCTGCAGCCCGGCGCCGGGCCGGAGGAGGGGGCCTGCGCGCAGCACGGCGAGAAGCTCTACTTCTTCTGCGAGGACGACGAGGCGCAACTGTGCGTGGTGTGCCGCGAGGCGGGTCTGCACGGCGAGCACAGCGTGCGCTTCCTGGAGGCGGCGGCGGAGCCCTACCGGGTAGGGGCGGGGGTCGGGGGCCGGGACGCGAGCGGGGCGGGACTGCGCACGAGGGGCAGCGATCGGCGCAGCCGGGTGCGTGCTCCCTGCTTGAGCGACCCCCAGGCTGTAGGCCCAGGGAATCGGGACCTGTGATTTCCAGGGAATTCTGCGTTGTTTGCCCCTGGCCCAGAGCTCAGTAAATACTTGCCGAGTGACCAGGGCACGTGGGTCTGGCCCAGCAGCAGTCTGGTTTGTGTCCCAGGGACGGCGCGGTAAGCGGTGTGCGCATGCTCATTCTTGCACCGTCACAGACCGGGGGGCCTGAGTACATCTGTACTTGAGTGTGTTAAAAATAAGTTTACAGGGGCCAGTGAGATAGCTCAGTAGAATAAGTGCTTGCCTAGCAAGCACAGGGACCTGAGTTCAATCCCCGGTACTGGAAGAATAAGCACATAAAAATAAGTTTACATATATGCCAGCTGGGTAATTTTATCAGTGCTGCGTAATTTTATCTGTCAGTAGGCGAATGTGGGCTGGGTTTAGTTGGGTTTGGTTGTTTATTATGTTTTAGTAGGAGTGGGAACTGAACTAGTTAGCATCTGATGATTAGCATTCTATTTGTATATTTGAATATACACATATAAATATTTATGTGTCTGTACCTGTTCTGGACTCCACTCTAGAGCTAATAATCTCTAAAACAATTTATCAGTTATGTTTGCATTTTCCAAGTTTCTTCTTCCCTCCAGAATCCTACCTACCTATTTTATTTTATTTTTTTGTACTTGGAGTCAGGCTCACCACCTCTCATTTCTAGGCAGGTGCTGTGCCACTGAGCTATATCCCAAACGCTTTTTTGGATTTTTGAGTCAGGGTCTCACTGCAGGTGGTCATAAACTCACTGTGTAGCCAAGGCTGGCCTCCAACTCGCAGTGACCCTCCTGCCTCAGCCTCCTGAGTACTGGGCTTGCCAGTGGGTGTGCCATCATGCCCAGCTAGATAAGTGATTCTAGTAACAAGGGAAGGTTGCTATTTGCATGTGCTCCCTTAGGGTGAGTCAGAAAGTCAGAATAATTTCAGCCAAGGGGATGTCAAGCTCAGGAAATGTGTGAGTGCCATGTACCCAGTGCAAAGAAAAGGAGGGTGCTTAACTTAGGGGGAAACCAAGTCATGGGCTTTGCTGAGAAAAGGGAAAGCCTTTGGGCAGGATTCGTGGGGCGCAAAGCAACAAGAACAAGGCCCACAGAAGTAAGCTATCCAAGTGAGGCAGGCCAAGTGCTGTCAGCCAAGGGCCAACCTCCTTTCCTGGGGCATCTCATTTGCAGAGGCAGAAGATGGGATTCGACGCCCCCCTCCCCCATGAATCATGTGTTCCTTCTCCCCAGGAGCAAATACAGAAGTGTCTTGTGTGTCTAAGAAAAGAGAGAGAGAAGATTCAGGAAATTCAATTGAGAGAAAATAAAAGGATACAGGTCCTGCTGGTAGGTCCTTGCACCCTCCCTGCCCTACCCTTCCTCGGGGCCCAGTGTCCTGGAAACTGAGGCAGTACAGTGCAGAGGGATTGGAAGACACTGAGTCTGAACCTGGCGCAAGTGCATGAGCTCAGGAAACTCTTGAACTTCAGTTTACTTATTTGTAAAGTAGAGATTGAAAATCACCACCACCATGTGGGATTGCTGGAAAGAGCAAATGAGACTGTGCCTGGAATGTGGCTTGGTGCTTGGCTCACGTGCACTCTTCCTGCCAGGAGGGCATCCGGGTGTCCCCTCTGCCGCCTCTAGCCTAAACCTCCCAGAAGCCCCAGCAGATGGTGCTGAGGCAGAGCTGGCCTGTCCAGCTCCCAGGAGGGGAAGGGACAGCAGGTGGGAAGTAGAATTAGGTTGTAGTACATCTCCAAATCTGTCGGGGACCAGGCTGGTGGGTGTGGTGGTGGGGATTTTACCACCAAGCCTCTCCATAGGGAGAGGAGAGTGAAGGCAGAAAAAGGAGAAGGAGGGCACAGAGAGGAGGAAGCGGGAGAACACTGTGCTATGGGCTCTCCTCCTGCCTCCTCAGACTCAGGTGGCCACCAAGAGACAACAGGTGATTTCCGAGTTTGCACATCTGAGCCAGTTTCTGGAAGAGCAGCAGAGCATTCTTTTAGCGCAACTGGGAAAGCTGGATGGGGACATCCTGAAGCAGCAGGAGGAGTTTGATCGCCTGGTCGCTGGGGAGATCTGCCGGTTTAGCACCCTGATTGAAGAGCTGGAGGAGAAGAGTGAGAGGCCAGCGAGGGAGCTCCTGACGGTGAGCCCGAGCCCGCCCAGCTGTGCCCATTGCCTCTTCCTCTTGTCCGAGCCTCCTTCACTTGTACATCCTGAGTCCCACTGGGGAGGCAGGTTGCTGGGCCAGAGGACCAGATTCTAGTGTGGTCTTCCCCAGGAGTCCCTAGTCACTGCACTTTCTGTCCTTGGTTTCTCCATCCCACTGCCCACTGAACAACAAAGACCTCAGGGGGCTCTTGTGAGGATGCAACAGGACAACGGAGGTAGGATTAACACTTTGAAAGTATTAGATACGCGAAGGCAAGCTCCGTGTCCAGTGCAAACCATTCCTTATGCCCTGAGTGTCCCTGTCCACCAGCATGGAGTTCTGTCTGGCCTATTTCCCCTCTTCAACCTAGAGGAGAGAGACTGGTATTCTGGCAAGTCACCAGAAAGGCAGCATGACTTAGGGCAGTGGTGGAAAGCCTCTTAGGCTCTCTGAGATAACAAATGGCTGTCTGCACTACACATGCATCTGTTCGACACCAGTGATTTGGGGGTGCACCGAGGGCTGAGAAAGAGGGTGCTGTGGTGTGGGATTTACTTGCTTTGGTGTCACACCATCAGTGTCAGGCCTAGGCCACTCTGTTTGGGTCTGTCCTGTAAAGAATTTGCCTCTGACCCTGCAAGGCTGGTAAATACCAACACTTTGTGGTCTGGTGTCCTTTTTCTATCAAGGCCTAGGAATGTGGTATTTTAAATTTGTTGTTGTTCTGTATTGTGGTCCACTGGAGACTGAACCCAGGACCTTCTTAGCGAGTTACATCCTCAGCCTTTTTAAACATCTTTTGAGACAGGGTCTTACTAAGTGACCCAGTCTAGGCTTGAACTCACAGTCCTCTTGCCTCTGCCTCCCAGAGTGCTGTGATTACAGGCATGTGCCACCACAGCTACCTGGTATTTTGCATTTTGCAGTCAGTCATAAGAGAAATAGAAGAGAAAAACTGGACGCTGAATCCCTACTCTTTCTCTCCCTTAGGATATCAGAAGCACCCTAATAAGGTGAGTGACGCAGATTCTCTTTTGCACATAAATGCAGGCCTGTGCACCACATGGCTGGTTAGTGCCGTGTAAGCGTGCAGCAGTCTCAGTTTAAGGGTGCATGTTCACATGTTTCACCCACCTGCTTGACTGCATGCTCACACACAGCGGCAGGCACAGCCCCGGGGTGGTCATGGGGTCCGTCCCAGAGGAAGCGTAGACACTTCCCGGGGGAGCTGGTGCCTCCTTAGTGGAAGCCTGGCTGGCTCTGGGGACACCAACAAGGAGGCCATTCTCACCCCACCGTTCTGTGCCACCAGGTGTGAAACCAGAAAGTGCCGGAAACCAGAGGCGGTGTCCCCGGAGCTGGGCCAGCAGATCCGGGACTTCCCCCGGCAGGCTCTGCCACTGCATAGAGAGGTGAAGACCTTCCTGGGTAAGGGGCCCCAGCTCCTCCGAGCGCAGTGTGGAGGCCGCTTAGGACCGGCTTCCGAGCGCCGCTGCCCATCGGTCTCGGGCTTTGGCGAGACTTGCCCCCTCTCAGCCACTTGGTTTTCTGACTTACAGATTTTTATAACATCCTCTTCTTTGGATAATGTGACAATAGAGAAAAATGATAAAGCTGAAGATTTCTGAGGAAAAGTCAGTTTATTTGAAGAATAATTAGACAAAGTAATTAGACAAATGTACAAGATAATGATTAGCAGCATATATAATGATTATATCATTATGAATAATTTAAAATTTTACAGCAGCATCTGTAGTGTGTGATAAGATTTGATGATGAACATTGTTCACTAGTAGCTATGACAGTGTGTGTATGCTGGGTGGCTGACTCACCCCTCCGTTACTTTCGCTTTCCTTCTGTGGATGGTCCTGGGCACCAGCTGCCCCTGTAGACTGTGCCCCACCTGTTTCCTGGAACCAGGAGCAGTGACAAGAAGGCAGAGTCTGAAGGGAAAATCAGGAAGCCTGCATGCACATCATGGGTGACATCACCTGTTTCTAAATGGCCAGCCGTAAAAATGCTACCAAAGCACTTCCTCTGTAGTCTGACGGGCATTCCTGTGGTGTGTCAGGGAAGGCCTTGTACTCTAATCAAAGACTGACCTGTGGCTGTCCTAAAAATTCTTTCCAGGAAGAGCAATAGACATGTGCATGCACTGATCTGTTCACTGAGCAGATGTTTGCTGAGCACTTACTACGTCGGGGCTCCACGCACAGCGATGGGCCAGGCAGGCAGGATCCCTGCCAGTGTGCAGCGGAGTGGTGGACCCGGGCGGGCTCTCTCCAGCAGCACTGCTGTCCCTGGGAACTTTCAGCAGGTGCAGATTTGCACCCAGGACCTGCAGGAAGCGCGTGTTAGCACAGCCCGGAAGTCGAGGTGCAAGCTGGGGTTTAGAATCACAAAGCCTGGATGCAAGTTCAAGACCAGCCTGAACTACACAGTTCAAACAAACAAACAAACAAAAAACCCCAAAGGAGTCAAAGCCTGAAATCCCAGCTTCCTTTCTTCTTGTCTTTCCCCAGCTCCCCTGCCCTCCACTAGATGCGCTCTGGTTTGGGGACTAATAAATTCATCTTGTTCTCTTTTTTGCAGAAAAACTCTGCTTTGAGTTGGACTATGAACCAGGTAAGTAGCTAATATCCGGAGGGCGGAGTGACAAGTTCCCAAAATGAGGTAATTTTGCACAACTCTGTACCAAGCACTAAGTAATCATCTCTGTGTCCTCTTGTGTGTGTATGTGTTATGTATACTTGTGTCACACACACACACACACACACACACACACACACACAAGTTCGGCCTCCGTATCCACGGGTTCCATATCCATGGATTCAACCTCCGATAGAAGATGTACTCAACACGGCAGACTTTCTTGTCATTATTTACTGAACAATCCAGCATGACAGTTACTTATGTGACATCTATATTGTATTAGGCATAATAATTAATCTAGAGATAACTTAAAGTCTGCAGGAGAATGTGCCTGTTTACAGACTGCTCGTTCCATGTGAGGTACTCAAGCATCTGCAGACTTTGGTATCTGCAGCAGTTCTAGCCCCGTAATTCCTGATGGATGCTGTGTGTGTGTGTGTGTGTGTGTGTGTGTGTGTGTAGACTTCCTCTGTAAGACCTGGAAGGGAATTTTGGGGAAAGGGCTGGGCATTCAGCCATCTTTCCTGGAGAAGCTAGAGTGGGTAAGGTTAATGGAAGGTCTTAGAAGAGGAAGACTTTGGTCTCAGAGCTGTCAAGAATCCCTGGCCCTCTCTGATGTCATTTCACAGATGATGTTAGAGAGAGGAGCCTGGGGTAGGAGAGCAATGCAAAGGACAGACCCTTCAAGGTGTACAGCCCCACATCAGTTCAAGGCTGTGTGGGTCGTGGAGCTGCTAAAAGGAGCCCTTTAACCCTTGGACAGGTCTCAATTAGTTTGTTTTTTTTTTTTTTCACTCATGTGTTTGGTACAAGGTCTTACTACACAGCTCTGACTCATAATGATCCTCCTGTCTTCAGCCTCACCACTGCTGGGATTATAGGCGTGTGCCACCATGCCCAGACTGGTTCGATGGCTCATTGTGCCATGGGGCAGAGCCCAGCACAACATGTGGGACCTGGGATCGAGCCCCAGGCCTTGCATTTGCCAGAGCAGACGCTTAGTCTGCTGAGCTATCCTGCCAGCCCCAGGTCTCAGTTAGTGAGTGTTCTGAGTGTAGGGTTCTGCAGGTTTGGTGTTAAAGTGGTTCTTGCAGCCTGAAGGGCTAGAACTACTGAGACTGCAGCGCCAGCTGGGAGGAGCAGAGCCTGAGAGGGAAGGGTCCTAGTGCCCTGAGGGGAGTGGGAAGGACCCTGGAAAAGGCCCAGAGAGGAGGAAAGTCTGGCTCCAGATGGCAGTTAGCAGGGCGGAGGGCTGTGTGTCCCAGCAGGAGGAGGCCCGAGCACGCTGCTGCTCCTCTCTAGCGTAGAGCAACTCTGCAGAGGGCCAGGGGCTTGAGCGTGTGCATGAACCCTGGGTGCGTGCTCAGGCAGGTTCTGTGACTGTTTCTAACAAGTTATCCTGGAGCCCTGTGCTGTATTGTTCCGGCTGTGCTCTAGCGCTAACCTGCAGGTGAGAGGGAAGGGGCCTGTGCCGTCCTTGAAGGTCACAGCCCCTCTGCCAACACCTCTCTCTTGGCTTTTCCACAGCTCACATCTCTCTGGACCCCCAGACTTCCCACCCCAAGCTCCTCTTGTCCGAGGACCACCAACGGGTTCGGTTCTCCTATAAATGGCAAAATTCACCAGACAGCCCCCAGCGTTTTGACCGGGCCACATGCGTGCTGGCCCTGCGTGGCTTCACAGAGGGCAGACATACGTGGTTGGTGAGCGTGGACTTGGCCCACGGGGGCAGCTGCACTGTGGGGGTGGCGAATGGGGATGTGCAGCGGAAGGGGGAGCTGCGCCTGCGGCCGGAGGAGGGAGTGTGGGCCCTGCGCCTGGCCTGGGGCTTCGTGTCTGCCCTGGGCTCCTTCCCCACACGGCTGGCCTTGGAGGAACATCCCAGGCAGTTGCGCGTGTCCCTGGACTATGAGGTGGGCTGGGTGACCTTCTGCAATGCTGTCACCCAGGAGCACATCTACACCTTCACGGCCTCCTTCACTCAGGAAGTCTTTCCCTTCTTCGGGGTCTGGGGCCGAGGGTCTGGCTTTTCCCTGAGCTACTGACAAAGCACAGTATGGCTTTTTCCCTGAGCCCACGACAACCACTGGAGTAGAAATGGCTGCTTAGACAGCTAGTGGCCTCATTGGTGAGGGATATGGCGGCATCGCCTTCAGTCTGCCAGTTAGTTGCCCGGTGGATGTCAAGGGTTCTGGGGCTCGTCTGTTGCTGGCTGTGCTTGCCACCATCCCCACCGGAGGCACACTGGGCCTGGGCAAAGCCTTGTCACCAACCAGCTGTATGCTTCATAAGCAAGACACCAAACCTCTCTTCAACTTTTCTTCAATGAGTGCTAGAGCTCACTTATTCATATCCTCGAGAACAATTGTGTGCTAACGATGAACCAAGCTGTGTGGTAGCCACTGGTGATTTGAAATAATAAAAAGAGGAAAAGCTTTGTGCCATATCTAAAAGTGCTCTTGGAAGACACAGACACAGAGAACATCGGCTCAGCATGGTGGCTGCAGGGTCAGCTGTCTACCCAAGGCATTGTGGAAGCTCAGAGGACCTGCGTGGCCCTGCTGGTGGAAGGCCAGTCCAGGTGGCTTTTTGGAAGGGTGGGTACAGAGGATGCAGGTGGTGAGTGAGAAAAGGAGCAGGAAAAACACCTTAGGGGGTGGGGACCACAGAACAGGGCGGATGCTCTGCGACCATGGGGCACTCGGTCATCTCTCTGTGTCCCTGTGAGGAGGCATTGGCCACACCTACCCCACACCACGCACTGCCCTTTTCTCTCGGTGGTGTCACTTCCGAGACAAGATGCAGGGTCTTGGGAACGGGGTGGCAGGAAGGTGTGACCCTGAACTGCGCTCAGCCTGGGGAGATCCATCTTCCAGAGCAGCCGAGGACAAGAGAAGGAGTCACAGGGGCCAAGTGGGAAGGGGACAGCACCATCTGCTCCAAGCGCTGGGTGAGAGCAGCAGAGGCAAAGGAGGAATGGATGACCTGTGCTCTTCAGTCAAGAGCTGGGACTCCTCCAGGATGGGACAGAGAGTGACACATGGTGGGATGGAAAAGGGAAAGACTAGCGATGGGAGATGAGCAGATCAGAGGGGAGGGCTCTGGGGAAGGAACCAGGTGGTACCAGGGAGGCCATGGTCCCGATGGGTCTGGGTAACTGGTTCTGGGAAGCACATAGGCACCCACTTGTTGCTGCCTGGAATTTGGAAAGTGATACCTGTTTTTGGAGAGTGATGTTTTGAATCCTATGCATAATAAAAGTGTTTTTAGACTACATCAAGTGATTTATTTTCTGCTTCTTGTGTTACGTTTTTTAAAAAAACCTTTAAATATTTATTTATTCATTTATTTTTTAATTTTATTTTTTGAGAAATAAATATGAATGAGACAGTTTCACAGCTGATTAATAGGACAGTCTTGATAATGAATACATTGTACATTGTTATCTTCTTAGTGGTCATCCGTAGTACAAGAAGCAGACAGGATCTTGTGTTTCTTTTTATTCTGCTTAAACATGCCCTACACTGACTATTTCACTCCTCAGACATAAACCACCTTGTGTTCTCCTCACCTGACCGGGTCCACAGAAGAGGTGAGCCACCCGGGCATCTCCACGGACGAGGTCTGTGGTGCCTGGACTTAGCTCAGCATTCTTCTGAGAAGTTCTGTGACTCATGCTCAGCTCTGAAGCTAGCGAAGTCCTGGGGATCAGGAGCCAGGGAGCAGAGGCAGAGCGAAGGGCTTTACCTGGGAGTGTTCAGTGTTGCGTGTCAGTGTTGAAGATTCCAAAAGTAACGATACCACAAGGGCCAGCAGAGTACAAGAGCATCTCCCCAGTTCAGAGAGCTGGCACTCCTCTGCAGACTGAAATGGAACTCCCTGACTATTTGTGTGTTTAAGCTGTGACTTTTAATCAAGGAACATAACACTGTGCAGCAGACCCACCCCTTTTCTACTTTAAGTTTATACTTTTTTAAAAAAATGTATTTGGTTGTTGCAGGGTCTCATTACGCAGCTCGGGTTCATAGTGACCCTCCTGCTTTCAGCCTCCCCAGCACTGGGATTAGGCATGAGCCACTGCTCCCAGACTCTGGCTGGCTCAGCCTGCCCTAGGGGTGGGGCTGGCATGGCATGTGGTGTTGGGGGTCAAACCATGGTCCCTGAGCTTGGCAAAGCTTCCTACGCAGGCACTTTAGTCCGCTGAGCTATGTCACCAGCCCCTAAATTTATACTTTAGCGTAACAGTAGCTGGCTGTGTGTCTCAGTACCTTCCTCTGAGGGAAACAAGAAACAGTCTATGTGTTTATCCACTTGGTATGATGAACAGCAGGGTGTGTGTACATGTGCAAAAGTGGCAAAATGGGATTTTTGCCCACTTTATGCTCCTTTTAACTGGTTTTCTGTGTGTGTACCTGAGCATCACAGAGGGTCCAATAGAGCACACTACTCCAGGACTTTTTTTTTTTTTAACCAGGGATTGAACTCAGACCCTTGCGCTGGCCAGGGAAGCGCTTATTCCACTGAGACATCTCCCCGGCCCCAGGATTTGTTTTTAAAAAGTTCTCTTTTGATTTTTCTGGTAGAAGTAGTCCAGTTTAGTGCAATGGCACATGAAGAAAAATGTTTGCAAGTTTTGGAGAAGGTCAAAAGCAAATCATCAGTTGACTCATGCGTGGATGATGACGATGATCCATCCGGGTGAAATACATACCAGAAGAGTGGTGTGGGCGGCTGATGGCGGAGGTGGCGACAGCTGCCAAAGTTCCGCGACAGTTAAAGGAGCAAGAATCAACTCACACCAACACGGAACTACAGGCCTCCTTGATTCAGATGATGAAGAAAACAGCAACACGTGTGCATATTTGACTAGTCAAGATGTTGCAAAGTGGCCACTCAGCCAAATGGGACAATCCAGTGTTGGAACTAGGTCCAGAAATATTGTGAAGGACTTGCTGAAGTGGATTGGACAGAATGCCGGCACTGCCACTTAGTGCTGGAAACTGTAACAGACAGGATGCTGCAAGACGCTGCGAAACACACAAGGCTGAAATGCAGGTAAAGTGCTCTGTGTGCACCAATAGCCGTATTAAAAATGTATTTATTGTCATGTCTTGCTAGCTGGACTGGAAGCATTAACAGATCTGCTCTCCTTAACAGGGACTTCTCATGGTTACTGTAGGGATGTAAAAGACTTACACAAAAATGAGGGATCAAAATGTGGCATAAACATTTATGGCACTGTAGGCGCAAGACTTACTATCTTTCAATTTGGACATTTATCCTGAAACTCTGTCATCAGGTACTTATTCCTAGAGTAATAAGCTGAATGATGTTGTAAAGTCTTGTTGCTCCCATCTACCAAGTTAATCGTAATATGATATTACATTTGCTAATAGAGCACACATTACGTGTTAACTGGTGCAGGAACTGTAAGCAGGAATAAAGCAGAAGTTCCAAATGAAAGGTTACAATCTTAAAAAATTGTATAGTACAATCTTTGGATTTCAGAAAGGTACAACATTGGCTTCCTATATGCCAAAGAAAAACAAACTGGTACTGCTGATGTCAACATTTCACCACTGTGGCATTATCAGTAAGAACATCTGGGCAAAATTTAGGCCTGAGATGGAAGCTCTACAACAAAAGGTAGAGCAGATGTTTATTAGTTATGCAGCAGCTACCATGTCACTTGAAACATTAAGCATTGGCAAATGGTCGTGTTTTACTTGATCCTAAACAAGTGTGGAATAAATATTTTGATAGTTTTCAAAGAAGATAACAAGTGCAAAATATCACAGAAAAATTTTCTTTGAGGATTAGGTTTGGAGCTCATAATAGATCATTAACAGCAGAGAAACAGTGTTTCTTTCCAGGGAACTGCACACAAAATAATATTGTTTCCTTGCCAAGTGTATGTTGTACAATATAGTAGGACAGACCTGACAAAACAGGAAGGGTCTTTGTCCGGCGAGATAGCTCAGTAGAATATGCACTTGCCCGGCAAGCGCAAGGTCCTGACTTCAATCCCCAGTACTGAAGAAAAAAAAAAAAAAAAAAAAAAAAAAAAAAGACACCAGGAAGGGAAGAGAGGTGAGGAGACTGCCACACAGGAAAGGAAAGCTCAGCACATGCGGTGACAGTGTGAGCAAGATGTGCGCATGAAACATGCAGTTGTTGTGTGTGAAACTGTCGTGTGACAGCTGAAGCCAAGATGATTGTTGTGGTGTTCTGCTGGTATTTTAATTGATGTTCATACAGGAATTTACTTATGATGTTATCTTTTAGGCATTGTAAGCAAGTACACAGCTAATGTGAAAATGTTGATGTTTATTTCAAATGAACAATCCATATTAAGAATTTAATAATTTATTTTTTGATGTTTTATGTTCCTGTTAATTACACACTTTTTAATGTAATAAAACTTCAGGACAAACCAGGTATGGTGGTGCACACCTATAATCCCAGCACTTGAGAGGCTGAGGCGGGAGGATTGCTGTGGGTTTGAGGCCAGCCTGGGCTACAAAGGGAGTTGAATGCCAGCCTGAACTGCATAGGGAGATCCTGTCTCAAAAAAAAAAAAAAAAAAAAAGAGAGAGAGAGAGACCCTCAGAACAAATCATTGAGACCAGCCAGATACCAAGAACGTCCTACAAAAAGCCAAGAAAGCAGCACACACGTGCTGTCAGTGTCAGCGATGTGCATGTCTGCAGAGTGTTGTCACGTGTGGACACACTGCCTTAGGTGTGACCGCTGAAGTAACCTTGTTTTTGTAAAGTACTATTAGTATTTTCATTGTAGTTCATATAAGAATTTATTTGTGTTGTTCATTTCTAGATTTTACACACCAGAAAACAACCGATGTTGAAAGTTTTGATGCTTTTTTATGAACAACAAATATTTTTACAATGTGTTGAGTGCAGGGTCTGCAGGCTCTCACTACACAGCCGGACTCGAGGTGAGCTTCCCGGCTGCAGCCCCCGCTGCGATCGCAGGCGCGCACCGCCTCGCTGCAGGCCTGTCAGTGCGCCCAGCGCTGCGCTTCAATCCGCTGAGCTATCTGGCTGGCTCTAAACAATAAATATCAAAAGCTCAAAACTAGTCCTGTGATTTTGTTCCTGTTAAGTACTCATTGTTTAATACAGTAAAGGCATACAATTAATAACCAAGTAATAGAAACACCCTGAAGAATAAACCTGGTCCCGCAGGCTGGCGTCTGCACTTCGGGACCGAATTCCCGCGTCCCTCCGCGCTCGGGACTGGGCGGCTCGCGCGTGGCGACGCGGGCCACAGGAGGGCGCTACTGAGCCAGCAGATTCCGAGAATGAGGCTTATCGGAGGTGTCCGTGAAACCCGGACCAACTAAAAACATCCGCATCTCTTACACACAGGATGAAGACAGGAATCGGGACGTGTGTGCACCTGTGCCAGCGCCGCCTAGGAGCGTCGATGTTGCGTGCTGCACACAGGGGCTGACACTAAAATGAAAAGTGAAAATGAACAAATAAAACTGAAAATAAAGCTGCCGCTGAGGGGAAACGTTCGCGCCGGCCTCCGCACCTGCTTGCACCGGGGTAATCTGATTTACGCTGGCCGAAGCGCGCGGGTCCCGCCTCTCCAGGAGGTGGAGCCGGGACCTTGCCGGCTGCCGCCGCGCTGCTGTGACCGCACGTTCGCGCCTGATCTTTTGCACAACTTCCGTTACAGCAGCTGTGTCTGAGAGGGGAGCCCCACTCCAGCTGGCTCAGTAGAAAGTGTTTTGTGAGCACAGACACAGAAATGCGGAAACACAATCCTCCAGGCCTCACGGGAAGGTGTGGCAGGGAGGTGTGGAGAGCCGGGACCCTGCCGTGGGGGCCTAAGGATGCTGACAACAAACACATCTAAAACTCATTTTGGTCAAACAGTGAAAGCTTGTTATTATTTTCTCCACCGCTTGGGATTGAATTCAGGCCCTCTGAACTGAGCTGTACCCCAGGCCTTTTTATTCATTTTCTGCTATTCTGAGAGAGCATCTCGATAAATCCCCAAGCTGCCCAGGCTGGACTTGCACCCGTGATCCTTCTGCCCTAGCCTGCCTGCCGGGATTAGAGTGTGGCACCACAGCGGCTACCCTAAGGATCTTATAGGTTGACTCCTGACAACACCCCTGTGAGCCAGGCGCGGCTGCTAGTCGTCCAACTCACACATGAAGGCCTGAGGCGCAGAGGTCAGGCGCGGCTCCCACTCAGCAGCAGTGAGCCGCTGCCCAGGCTCTGGAATTCAGCTGTTCAGCTCCAAGCCTGTGCTCGTGGTTGCCAAGCACTGGCAGGAGAGTGGACTGGGGTCACCCACGGGCTGTGGCTCTGCACCCGCCAGACATGCCACTTGGCTGCTCCCTCCCTGCCAGCTGTCACCACAGAGCCTAATGATTGCAGGTACTGGCTTGGTTACCTTTCACTTATTGTTGGGACAAATAGCCAACACACAAAATTAAGCAAGGAAAGGTTTATTTAGCTCATAGTGGAGGTTTTGGTCCAAACTCCGCTGGCTCCAAGGCAGAGTAGTACACGGAAGAGGGCAGAAGTTCCAGGCAGCAGAAAACAGCAAAGAGCAAAGGGAGAAACAGTGGCTGTGGCTTCTAGCCAGCCTCTCTCCCCTCCTCATAAGCAGGCTACCCTGGGTCGGGGTGTAAAACTCGCACAGTGCCCATGCGCAGGATGCCTTGCACAGGATGAAGAGGTTTACAAAGTAAGCACCCCGGTTCTCTGCTGAGTTATGGATTAAACTTCTAAATTTCTCAGGTTGGCACAATGTATCAACCAGTACAGGTGCTCATGGCTGACAAGCTCCTTCCCAAAGGCTGCCTCACAGGTCCAGTCAGCCCCTGTCAGTGACCGGCTGCCCTCCCTGCCCAGGCAGAAGGGCCGTGTCAGAAGGCACACGGGGTCCAGACCGGTTTTCCTTGGACGTCACTTTTTCTGCCAGCGCCTTAGCCTCTGCACAGTCACTGCAGCTATTGACTCCCCTGTGCCTCAGCATCGCAGCTTGACCTCACAGTCTCCTCATGCTGGGCTGTGGCTTTTTCCTTTCTTTATCTTTTCTGTCAAGTAGCTATTCTGACCTAGACTATGCTCACCTCTCTCTCCTTGTTCTCCGATCCTAATGTCCCCCAAGAAACCTGCTCTGACTTTTCCAGTGTCACCTGGATCTGTTCTCAAATCCTTAAAGCACTTAGCATCTGACAACTTCATTCCGTCAACACGCTCCCCTGTCAAGCAGCTCTGGAAGTGGGATGCTTAAAAAGAGGCAAGATTAACGTATTTGAATATTTACAATGTGGTAGGCACTGCAGCAGGCACTACAGGTGTATAATTCTTACATTTCATTCTTACAACAATCTCAAGACACAGGTACCATTATTGTCTTCTAAAAGGAAGTAGAATTGTTGTTCAGTGAGGCAAAATAGCTTGTTTAGTGTAACAAAGGTTGTCGGGAGTCCAGACCGGGGCTTAAACTCGAGTCTGACGCTGGTTACGATATTTTCTTCATTCCCTCAGTGCCTAGTGCAGAATTGACTGGTTTTCCTGAGCAAGAGCTTGATAAATCCTGGCTAAAAGACAGTTAATGACTCCTTAAACTTGGAGGGTCAGGCAGGCCCGCAGCCTCTTAGTAGTTCTTTCCAGCATCCATTTAAAGTTTACTGAACGCTAACTACGAGCCAAGCACTGCCTTACACAGTGGGAACCCGGAGTGCTGTGCTCACCCACCGGAAGAATCGACGCATGCACGAATGCCTGGAACACAACTGCATCAGTTACCAATTTTTCCACAAAAAGGACAAGATTGAGTGCTGTCTCAGACGCTGCACAGCCATTGTCTCACAGTTCAAACACGGGCACAGTCTCCCTTGCTCTTCCTCTTCCACAGGCTGCAACCAAAGGCCGCTGACCCCGGTTCTCATCTAGGGGCTCAGCTGGGGAAGAACTCCAGTTCCGTCAGGCTGTCAGCGCTTCCATTTCCCTACAGCCGACCTGAGGGCCCCTGGCTGCTGGCCGCAGGGTGGAGGCCGCTGGGGCTCCCACAGGCTGCCTGGAGACCTCCCGCGGGTGCTGTCCGGGGGGCCGGCAAGGAGCGGCTCCAGTGAGTCTGCGAGCAAGAGGGAGCCCTACGCAAGGGACTGAAGCGAGTCAGACCCACCACTGAAGGGCGGGAGCAGCCCAGCAGGGCAGCAGCACTGAGGGTGGAGATTTGGAGGGAACCTTGAGTGTGTGTCACGGCAATAATGAGCAAGCGCAAGCTGGGCGACAGACAACGAACGCTACCAGAGCTCAGAAGGAACATTCCTCACCACACCCACGGGGCTCCGCGCTGAGCCTTCCCATCCACACGCCTGGGTGCTCCTGTTGCAACGTGAGGCCGAGCCATGGGTGCAGCCATCAGTTCCCAGGCCGGGGCTCATGCGAGTGGCCCGGGAGGGCACGCCTCTGGCCTCCACAATGGGAGCCACAGCAAGAGCCTGGCTCAAGAAGGAGGATGTGCGCATGTTGGAAGGTAAGGCACCAGGGCCTGCTGTTGGGTCGAGCAAGTAAGGGTGCATCGGGAGGTAGCAGGCCTAACGGGGAGCCGGGCCAGTTGGAGGAAGGAGAGGGAAGAGGCCATCTAAGTTCTGTGGAGCACTCCTAGAAGCAAAGAAATCCTTGTCAAGTCCTACATACGCATACCTTCTGTGGAATTTCCACAGGCCACGTGGTAGGAAGGTGCAACGGTGAATGGAGCAGGGCTTTCCTTGACACTGATGACGCCCACATGCAGGCATCATTGCGTGGGCTGTGCATGTCTGTGGCACCACAGGCCTCTGCACATGCGGGAAGGGAGAAGGGATGATGCATACCTGCTCAGTACATCACTGGCATTCTAGGAGAGAGAGAGTGGAATCATCAGGTTCCTGACGCCCCTAAATTTCCTCCCGACTCACTGTAAGCCCATGCCGAGGAGCCACCCTGCAAGTTGGGGGACGTGACCCTACATCCCACCCTGCTGCTGCACCACCGTGTGGCCCTGGGCAAGCCACCACTACACCACCACGCATCACAGGAATGGCCCGATTCATTGTACAGTTCCCAGGGGGTGCTGCAAGTGGGGTGCCTCAGGCTGTGGGAGCTGCCTCGGGTTCGCACCTTCAGGGTGGTGGCATCCAGCTCCTTGGCTGTCCTCTCCAGATCAGCCACCAGGTTGCTGAGCTGTGCTATCGCCTCCCAGAGGCTGAGCGTTCCAGCCCTCTCCGCAGATGCAGCCTCCAGCTGATCTGGGCCCTGCCAGGGAAGGGCACACAGCTCTCCCTTGGTTTGGGGCTGGCCCTCCAGCTTGGCATTCAGCCTGTGGCTCCCACCATCTCTCTGAAACCACAGAAGACAGGCTCCCTGAGACTCTTCCTGGCCCTCTGTCCCCTTGCCCTCTTGGCCTTGCCTCCCATGCCACAGGTTTGGCCACTGTGGTCCTCACAGAGGTAGGGTCATCTCCTCACCCTTCCCACTTGTATACATCTACAGTGTCAGGTAGGGCCCCAGAGGGAACACACACACACACACACACACACACACACACACCCCTCTCAGCCACATCCTTAACCCCCTCCAGCCACAGGGGAGGAAAGCACACCCAAACCTGAGTGAACAGAGGAAGGAAAAAGGTGGACGCTCCTTGGGGACACAAATGGAGCTACATGGTTCACTTAGCAATTCTGGTAGATGGGACGCTGTCTCCTTTCAAATCACTGCTCCAGGGAGGGCAGCCTTGGTTCTCAGCAAAAGTTTAAGTCTCCTGAGGTCAGAGGCTCAACTCGCCCGTCACTCTGCCCAGTGACGCCCAGCCCAGCCCAGCCCAGCCCAGCCCAGCCCAGCCCAGCCCAGCCCAGCACTACACCCAGGCTCCAGCCCACCCAGCTGTCCTTCCATGTCCGGCTGCACCAGGGGTGAGGCAGGGAGCGAGCCCTGAGGACAGCTGCACCCTCCTTCCGCCCAGCACCCTAGAGCGCACCCGCAGGGCCTGTGGCTTCTCCTCCTGCTGTGCCTGGAGCCGCTGCAGCTCTGCCAGGTCCTTCTTGAGCTTCCTGCTGCGGCGGCTGAGTCGTTCCTACAGAGAGACAGAGAGAGCGCAGCACTTGCCCATCAGACTGGAGTGATGATGTCCCTTCTGGGGGACGAAAGAACAGGGCAGGCAGGTCCTGGCTCCTAAATGGGGGCCGATGGAAAATTCTGCCTAACAACAGGCACCTTTGAAGCCTCGTGCTTGAGGTAAGGACTTGAGAGTATATTTAATGAGTAATGTTGAGGAAAAGTAATGAGTAATGTTTTTAAAGTCTGAGCTATACAAGGGCCAGCCAGATAGCTCAGCGAACTAAAGCACCTGCCGTCCGTCCTGCTGTGCTGGCCCCAGAGGGGCAATTGAGACTGGGCGTGGAAGCACGTGCCTAAAATCCCGGTGCTTGAGAGGCTGAAAACAGGAGACTCTTATGAGTCTGATCTACGTGGTGGACCCTGCAGACCCTGTCCTAAATACACACACACACACACACACACACACACACACACAAAGTCTGAGCTATACAGAAATAACAGATGTGACAGAACTATTTCTGCTTGACTTCTGGGTGCTTTCCCCTCACATGTAAGAGTGACATGTAATCTTCCCTACATGTATGTGTGTAGGTAATGGGTGTGTAAAATAGTACATACATGGAGGTACCATGTGATGTTTGAATTCACACATGTATCATATCATGTTCAAAGCAGGGTAAGCATATCTGTCTCCTCATAAATGTACCATTTATTTGTGGTGAAAACATTCAAAATCTTTTCTTCTGGTTTTCTGAAACATAAGCGCATTGCTGTTACCTACAGTCACCATGAAAGTGCTGCAGGCAGTGGGCTAGACAGAAAGAGACTTGCCGGCAGTCAGACAGGGCCAGGCCCTCGAAGGAAATGACAACAGCCAGGCGCCTTGCAACTGCCGGAAGGATGGAGGCCCCTGCTGTGAATCCAACCCAAAGACTAGCTGCCAGGACTGATCATTACTCAGGAAGAATTATGGTCTGAAGGCCTCCAGATAAGGTCCTGTTTTATATTCATGCCCGCTTGCTACATGACTCGCTTCCCCATTTGGTCCTGGATTTAATCAATTTTACCCGAGCAGTGGTGCTTGTAATCCCATTGGGTGACCATAGTTTTGTCCCACCTCAGGCCCGCTTAAGCGAGTTTCCTTGTCTTTTCCACCACCTTAGCCTCACCTCACCACATGGTTTTCCTCTATAAAAGTCCCTGGAAGAGACAGCTTCCTGGGAACTACCCACTCAGGCCCCCCTCCTGTCCCTCTCTCAGACAGGAGCTTTCTTTCCCTTGGTAAATATATTCTGCTCATAACCTCCATTTGTGCCTAAAATTCATTCTTCGGTTTTAGAGAACACGCACTCGTCCAGGTCACGTTGGGAGATCATTTTCCCCTCTGTCATTTGGAGGTTCCCGATATCATTTGGAGGTCACCCACCCAAGATCAGTTTTTCTCCCTGTATCATTTTGTAGGCTTCCACCAAGATCACTGGACGGAGGTATGAGTTTGCTTTTCTTTCATGAATTCTGCATTGGGACTTGCTTAGGTAACAAATTTTTATGCTTCAAATGTTAATATGTCTTTGCTCATTGCTCATAATTGTTCATACTTTGCCTCATACAGCTTTGTTTCACATAATTCGGTTAAAATTGTTTACAATTGCTTATGCTTTGTCTCTTTATGGCTTTGTGAAAATGTTGGTCAAAATGTTGTTGGTAAATCTAAGTTAAAATGTGGAAATGTTATAAGGTTATGATATTCCTTTAATGGGACATTTTATGACTGTTGTGTACTTGTATATGTTGCATTTGAACTACATGCTAAATGTGCTGAAATTCCTTGCTTGACTTTAGACAATAGTGCTAGAGAGAGTAACATTAGTTAGCCTCTTAGTGGATTTTATTTAAACTTCTGTAAAATGGGACTTTTAGCCAGCTCAGATTTAGGAAATCTACATGTCCTATATGAAACACAGGACTCCTTTTGCCAGTTAAATGACATTAGATCAGCAACTGTTCTTAAAGACTTGGAGGACAGGTTTCACTGGGATGGACTGGTTCTGATCCCCCTCTACATGCTAGAGGGAATGTCAGGCCTGCTCTGTTTCAGTTTCCTTGCTTTGACTTTATTCCTAATTTTCCTACCTCTTTGTACTTTCCTCTTTATTTTTATTTTTTGGCAGAACCAGGGATTGAACTCAGGCCCTTACGCTTGTCAGGGAAGCGCTTATTCCACTGAGCCATCTTCCCGGCCCTGTACTTTCCTCTTTAGAGTCATGTAAAATTAGGAAAATTATAGACTGTTCCAACTAAGTGAAGCCCTTAGAAAATGAGCGCTTGGTCTATGGCCATACCACCCTGAACACGCCCAATCTCGTCTGATCTCCGAAGCTAAGCAGGGTTGGGCCTGGTTAGTACTTGGATGGGAGAAAATGAGCGTTTGTTAACCACAAAGACAGGGAGGTCATTTCAGAAAAAGGACACATACTCATCTCTGGGTCAGATGAGACAAAGAGGACTATGCCCATCCAGGAGGACACATATAAAAGCTGTGTCCCTGCTCTGGGCAGGTCTCCTTTGGGAGGCTAAACCTGAGACACAGTGGAGAGAACCGACTTCTGGGTGACACCAGAAGGAGCTATCTCCAAAAGCAGCACACTTATGGGACCAAAACACATTTAGTGTGAGGGAGGATTCAACCTTTTCTCCTAGGTCTAGTTATTTAGGTGCATACGAGGTAAGTTACGGACCTTAAAATCTTTACTGTAAAGTGCTAATAATCTTGTTCAGGCTTGTAACTATCCCTTATAGAACTTGGACAAACAGCGGTTACTCTGCCAGCTAGCAAATGCTCTTAGAGCAGCTGCCACTCTTTGAAGCAGAGGGCAGGTTTCCCCAGCTGCTCTTTGGGGAATCCCCACTGAAGCCCATGGCTGATGGAGTGTTGACCAGAGAACCTGCTGAATTCCTTTCTGGAGACGTCTCTGGCTGTGTGGGCCAAAAGAAACCGAGAACACCTGAGGGGTTGTGGCCATGCCCGAAGGTTCCTTGGTGGAAACTGGCTCCTGACCACCGAAAGATCTCCACTTGCCTGTTGTACTTTTTCTCTCTTTTTGCTAGTAAACCAGGAATTCTACTTGAGATTTTCAGTAGAACAACTTAATGAGTCACTCCTTCATAAATCAGGCTGAGGCAGCTTGTGATAGTTTACATTCCACAGTGGCTATTAGGGGAAGGTGATTTATATCTGTGCCATAGGCGTTAGCTAAGAGTAAGATATTTGCCAGCTGTATTGTCTTTACCAAAATGTAAAATGTGATTGCTAGATGATAAATATAAGTTTCCCCTGTGAGCTCCAAGGTTAAATCTTGTCTAGTTGCTAAAAATGTTTACCTAGGTGATCAGTTGGAAACAAGTGCCTGGAGACTTGGCTCAGGGCACGGGGTCAAATCCCTCCAGTCAATTGTTCTATCTATCTCTAGAAGTGAGCTTCATAGCCTGAGAATTTCTCCCTTCTAGTTGACCTTTTATGTGGCAGCTATGCTTCCTTCTGTACACCAGACCAATTGTAACAGTTAATTTACAAATAGTCAATAAGAGTAAGTGAAGGGTTTGTGAGATGTTTCAGGAGACAGGAATCACGCACCAGTTCGAGGGTGGATAGGCTGGTGGGATCTTGTCTCCTTCCTCTCCAACAGGAGCACCCACCTGCTCTGGAGAGGGCTACTCAGGGACGCCTGGGTGGAGGAATCAATCAGAAAGAAGGTGGTCGCCCAAAAAGGTAATTTCTAGTGAATTTCAGGTTATCTCACAGTCAAAGTCTCTTATTCCTTGAGAGTGCTTCATTAAGCACCAGAAGACGTTTGATCCTTACATGCTGAAAAAGAGCTGCTTAATCCAAATGGAATGCAGAGGAAAGTATCAATTATGATGCTATTTTATAACTAGAAAGATGATGTAAAAATAGTAAAAATGTCTTATGTTCAGATTTTGTTTGCGTTAAGAAGGTTATTGTTATTTAAGTTCTGAAATGTAGATGTGAATGAAATGATAAAAGAACCAGGCAGTTCAGCCTTGCACACCATTGCTGAAAGTAAGGCTTCCCCCATTTGCTTTTTTAAAGGGTGGGCTTTTAGAACAGCTGTATTCAAGGCCTGTACAAGGCCTCTACAAGGCTACACCCATCCTTAGCTGAGTTTATACAAGCTCTTCAAGGACAATATCCTTTAAAGAAGTAAATAAAAAAAATTTGGAACTTCCAGAGTTCATGTGCCTTAGATGACCCTGATAAGTACATTGATGTCTTTTAGAGGATTTATTCAGACTTATGAACTAGATTGAAAAGATGTAATGTTAATCTTAAAACCAAGTTTTGACTTCTATGGAAGTACAGGCAGCATTACAAGCTACTATTACATTTGGGAAAAAATATTATATTGTTAATTTTAAAGAGTCAAAAATAGAAACCAGTGGAACTTCTATTTCCCACTGGAGCCCGAGCAGTCACACCCCTGCTGGCCTAAGAGCCAGGCAGGAGACTGGAAAAGACATTTTCTTTAAAGTGTGTATTCTTGAAGGTCTAAGAACTAGAACCAAGCCTTCTAGTTATTTTAAATTTTAGCTATTTACTGGGAGAAAGATGAACACCCCTCTGATTTCTCGTAACGTTTAATAGAGGTACCAGTAAGATGTATTTCCTGAGATGCTAATTAAATAGAGGGGCAGATTACTCTTACAGATAAATTCAGGAGCTACAAAAGACAGCTTTTGCTCCAGACAACTCATTTGATACTTTGGTAAAAACTGTTTAAGTGTCCTATAATTGGAACTGGGAGAAAACCAGGGAGAGAAAGCAAAGAGATCAAAAATGGCTGCCATTATTGTGGCCTCAAAACAGACCCTAAGTCTGATTCTATGGGCTCCAAGAAGAGCTCAATGACAATGAGGCTCATCTGCTGCTGCTGTCAGAAGACAGGCCATCCATCATAAGAGGGACTGTCTCAAGAGGCCCGCAAGCCAGGCCCTGAC